GCCGATCGACTTCCTATGGTGATACAACAACGGGGGGGGGGCAGTGGGAATTAAAGAAACGTGCACCATTGTTTCAACGGCCGCACCGGGAGATCGAACCGATCGAACAGGCGACTTCTGGGTTCAATTCCAGTGCGGTAAGCGTTACACAGCCACCGTGGAGGTATCTCTCTGACTCAGGGGTCGCCAACCTGCGGCTCCGGAGCCGTACGCGTCGCTTTGGCTGCCCCCTTACAGGCAGCTGTTAAAAAAAAAATCTGAAAACGTAAAGTAAAAAATTTGTATCGATTAAATATGCCAGAATGGGTCACTATGGATGGTCTTGGTGACAACATCTCCACCAGTGAGACTTGATTGTCAAAGAATAACTCAGGGGGAGGGAAAACTAAAGAGGCACAATTTTAGTCCATCACCTATTTCATTTATTTAAGTCAGAGTGTGTGTTGTTGTCATCTGCTGTATCATACCTGCTGTGTTTGTGTACCAGTTAGCTCTGCGTGTGATTGGGCTCTCGAACTATCTTGGTCAAAGACAAAAAAAAAGTAATATTTAAAATACTTTTTTTTTTAAACACGCTTTAATGAAATGTACCGTACTCGTAATGCCAGAACTCTGCGACTCCAGGAAGTCGCCGCAAAGCTTGCCATAACGTCAGGGGCCGTTGTGATTTAGAGCCAACGTCAGTTGAGCGTGGACAATTAGACTCAAGCCGAAACATAATATATAAAAAATTATGTTTAAAAAAATATATAGATTTTTTTATAGAATGTATGTCATACTGTCATCAGTATGACATACATATACAAAGTTTGCAGTCGATACGACATTGGGAAGTGGGTTAAATTTTAGTTACAAAATATGAGGATACGACAGCAGACAGAGTTGAGGATACGACAACAGACAGAGTGAGTTTATCAAAAGCGTGTTAAAGGATGTTTTAAAATCTATATTTATTTATTTTATGATAGAATATAGTCTTGTCATCAGTATGACATAAGTATACCAAGTTTGTAGTCGATAGCACATTGGGAAGTGGGTAAAATTTAGTTTCAATATTCTTTGAGGATACGACAACAAAGTGAGTTAAATAAAAGCGTGTAAAATAAAAAATAAAACCAATGGCTCTTCTTCTTTGACAGGTTGCCGACCCCTGATCTATGTACTCCGCTCGGCGAGGCTACGTTTCTATGTATTATCTGCCTCTCGATGTGGACTTACAGTTGATGTGTCTATCTCCCCTCTGTCGACTCAGTTTCAAATGATTACTCTCGTGCGATGTTGTAAACATCGCCACTCGGGAGACAAATGCGGCCGAGCGTGGTTCTGGCCACCCACCCCCTCGCGTGCCGTACCGACCTTTACATGTGCTCGCTAAATAGCACTTGTCCCCAACAGTCTGATCATAAGCTATACGGGGGATCTTTGTATTTGTGTCTCCCTGCTTGGTTATCTCTCTCACTCTAACGACCTGTGTCTCTCTCTGCCTTTTGGAAAGTAAAAGAACAAGATCCACTGCTGGATGAAAGCTTCCGCAAGCCGCCGCCGTCTCTCACTGTCTGGTGATGGAGCAATCCACGTTAGCTCCTCTACACACGAGCTGATTTCATCACTCCGCCTCCACTCAATGCGTACACGTATCTTGCGTGAGGATGCAGGACATTCGTCAACCTCAAAACAATGCGATCACAATGCGGATTTATATATGAGGTCCTAAATGCTCACGCGCCTGCAGAGGTCGTAGAGGCATAGTTATCTGCGTGAATATATGGGTCTGTTTGTGTATCTATGGGTCTCTGTGTGGATCTATGGGTCTCTGTGTGAATCTATGGCCCTCTGTGTGAGTCTGTGCCTCTCTGCGTTAGATTATCGAAGAAAGGGGCAGTCAGTCATAGGCAGAGGATAAGATGATGGTTCTTGAGCCTGCACTTTAATAAAGTTGCACGGAGTCGACAGCATGGTTGGCTGGGGTCTCAGTATCGCAATTGCAAATCAATCAAAGTCTAAAAATGTACTTCACATTAACTTATTAAGTATGTGGGTATATCAATATGTGCCTGCGTGTCGACGTATTTATATCTGTGTGCGTAAGAATTTGTGTGTGCGTGTGCCTGGGCCTCCCCTTCGTCGACTCAGTCTCAAATAAAGGCGGCCGGGCGTGGTGTTGGCCTCCCAACCCCTTATGTGCCGTTCTGTCCTTCATCGGTGCCCGCTAATAGAACTAGAAGATGGATTTTCCCTCCTGTTGTCTGTGTCCTAAAAGTTACCTATGTCGCAAATGTCAGCTTTACCCTGTCGGGAAGTACCCTAGAGAGGTTTTTTGAGACATATACAAATTAAGGTATTTATTTATATAGATAGAAGATACATTTTGTTTAGCGCGCTGCGCTGCACAAACTGGCTTCAGGAAATCGATTCCCGTTCACGGTTAACACCAGTGCGGATTATAAAAACCGGTCCTGAGATTCCCCTATGTCGACTGAGCCTCAAATGATTACATTATGAGGTGTTTAAACATTGACACTAGTAAGACAAAGGCGGCCGGGCGTAGTCCTGGTCACCCCCCCCCCTCGTGTGCCATGCCGGCCTTCATAAGTGCTCGCTAACAGCACTTTTCCCGACAGTCTGTTGAGGCTATGTGGGGGATATTTGTCTTTGTTTGTGTATTTGCACGAATGTATGCGTGTATATGAACATCGGGAGGGAGATGCAGAAGAGTTATCTGCGATTGTCAGTCACGGATAACATCAGTCGCGCCTCTCCTAGGAGTACTTGGCACGGTATGTGAACATCACTGGGAACACAAAGGCGGACAGGCGTGGTGCTGTCCATACCACTCCCACGACCGCCGTACGACTCGGTGCATCATCCGTCCTGGACACGTAAAATAGGTACCATTTTGCGGGATGTCAACAATGTTTGTCCTGTGAACAGAATGGCCCCGACCATGGGACTGTTGAATTTCCAGCACTCGCTCTACAGAGGCGCGAAGAGTTTGACTTGATAAATATTTATATTACAGAATAAAACGATAGGGGGACACATTATCTGATACATATAGACAATCTTTAGAGATGTTAAAGCTTAACCATGTTTTGGAGGAGCTATAAATCTTGGCATAATTTTGTAAGGTCTATGCCTCATTGTCATCGTAATCAGCGACGATTTATCCACAGCTGGATGAAGACCTCCCCAAATCACCTAGCTTCGGCAGATTAGTTGACTTCGTCACTTCCATGTGTTATTCTATAACTCCTATGTATTCCTCCATAACGCACATGTGTTCCTCCATAACTCACATGTGTTCCTCCATAACTCCAATGTGTTCCTCCATAACTCCAATGTATTCCTCCATAACGCACATGTGTTCCTCCATAACTCCAATGTGTTCCTCCATAACGCACATGTGTTCCTCCATAACTCCCATATGTTCATATACAATTCCCATGTGTTCCTCTATAATGCTCATGTGTTCATCCGTAAATCCCATGTATTCCACCATAACTCCCATGTGCTACTCTATAACTTTCATATGTTCCTCTATAACTCCCATGTGTTCCTCTATAACGCCCATGTTGTTCCTCCATAATGCAAATGTGTTCCTCCATTACTCCCATGTGTTCCTCCATAACCACCATGTGTTCCTCCAGAGCTCCCACGTGTTCCTCCGTTACTCCCATGTGTTCCTCCATAACACCCATGTGTTCCACCATTACTTCCACGTGTTCCTCCGTTACTCCCATCTGTTCCTCTATAACGCCCATGTGTTGCTCTATTACGCCCATGTGTTCCTCCATAACTCCCATGTTTCCATCTGTAATTCCCATGTGTTCCTCTATAATGCCCATGTGTACCTCCACAACTCCCATCTGTTCCTCTATAACTCCCATGTGTTCCTCCATAACTCCCATGTGCTTCTCCATAATTCCCATATATCCCTCCATAATGCCAATGTGTTCTTCCATGACGCACATGTGTTCCTCCATTACTCCCATGTATTCCTCCATAACGTCCATGTGTTCCTCCATTACTCAAGTGTGTTCCTCCTTAACGCCCATGTGTTCCTCTATAACGCCCATGTGTTCCTCTATAACGCCCATGTGTTCTTCCATAACGCCCATGTGTTCCTCTATAACGCCCATGTGTTCCACAATAACATCCATGTGTTCCTCCATAACTCACGTGTGTTCCTCTATAATTCCCATATTTTCCTCTACAACTCCAGTGTTTTCCTCTATAACTCTCATGTGTTCCTCAGTAACTCCCATATGTCCCTCTATAACTCACATGGATTCCTCCATAACTTCCATGTTTTCCTCCATAACTCCCATGTGTTTCTCTATAACGTCCCATGTGTTCCTCTTACTCCCAATTTAAGTCCTACGCAATGACCATGGGAAAGACCCACATTTGAAAACTTTCTAATACGGTGCTTAGACAAATCCCATGACCAAAATCTTACATTTCCTCTCTCTGTCCGTCTGCGAGGGATTGCATTTTGTCTAACTCTCATTTGTGCTTCTCTCCATTCCTCCCCTCTGCAAGTGTCTGTCTGCCCTTCAGTCTGTCTCAAAGTGAGTTTCAATAGCTCTCGATGTTTAAAAATAACAACGATAATCCATTTCTGTATTAAGATTATTATAATAATTATTTACCCAGGAGAGCCAGACTGAATCTCATTACTCTTTTCCAGGATGGTCCTGCTAAGCTTGAATTATTTTCCAGCAAATGTTTCTTTTTCAAATTTGCCAACATTTGGACCATGTCACTCGTGGCCTCTTTACAGCAGGCTACACATAGTTAATTAAATTTATTACGGTCAACACTACCTGAAGTATTAACCAGGGCGACCGCGGCCTCGAAACGTGAACCTCTGCAAATGCGCCAGCACTGTCACCCGCCTCGTCGTTGTGCCTTGCAGATGTTCGTCCTTGACAGTGAGATGATCGAGTCGTGACGTCACAACGCTCTGCCAACTACGTCACCCGGCGGGCACCCCCGCCATGTTGCAAGAAACGGTTCAAAAAGTGGTTACGTGCAACGTTTCCTTCTACAACCTCAACTGCACCCTGTCGGAGCTGACCCAGCCGCAACGCGTGGCCCTGATTTGCGTCTTTACCATCATCATCACCATCACGGTGGTGGGCAACATCCTCACCATCGTCTCCATCCTCTACTTCAGGCAGCTGCAGACTCGCACCAACGTGCTCGCCCTTTCGCTGGCCCTCGCCGACTTCCTGGTGGGCTTCCTCATCATGCCCTTCTCCGTGATGCGCACAGCCTACAGCTGCTGGTTCTATGGCCAGCTCATGTGCCGCATCCACACGTGGCTTGACTATACCTTCACCACGTGCTCCATCTTCAACCTGGCGTGCATCTCCATTGATCGCTATGTGGCCATCAGCGACCCGCTGCGCTATGATCAACGCGTGACCTACAGGATACTGGCGGTGATGCTCACCATCTGCTGGAGCAACATCATCCCATACGGTGTCTCATACATGCTGAAGCTCAACATCAATGGCATCGAGAGCGTCGTCGCTGCCAAGAGCTGCCCGGACAACTGCTATGTGTTCATGAACGTCCCGTTCGGACTCGCCAACTCCATGGGCGCCTACGTGCTGCCGATGCTGTTCATCATGGCCGCATACTCCAGGATTTATGTGATGGCTCGGAATCAGGCGAAGAGGATCAGCTCGCTGGGAGACCAGGTCCGGGCGAGCAACGCAAGCGACTTAACCATGCAGAGCAAGTGGAACGCCATGAAGAGGGATCACAACGCCACCAAGACCCTGGGCATGATCATGGTGGTGCTGTTTATCGTGTGGCTGCCCTTCATCGTGGTGGTGGCCATGGAGCCGGTGATCGGCTACAGGATGGACTCGACGGTGTGGGACGTGGCCAACTGGTTTACCTACTTCAACTCCACGATGAACCCCATTCTCTTTGCGTCCTTCAACAACTCGTTCCGAAGTGCATTCTATCTGATCATGAGCGGCAAGATCCTGCGTGGCAGCTACAGAGGGACGGATCTATTCAACTTTAGGAGGTTAGAAAAATAATTATAATCATCAGCAGCAGCAATAGCAACAGCAGCAGCTGTTCTCTATCCGCTGCTGGATGAAGGCCTACCTCACCCCCCCACCAACCCATCCCATCTCTCACTGCAGCAATCCATCTAACACCTACATGTGTCCCTCCGTGGTTAGTCTCGACTACTGGCGGTCATTCCCTTGCAGTTACAAGTCCTGTCCGAGCCAGCTTGACTCTAATGGAGTCGACATGATGTCTCCCTGTGCCTTGTGCGTGCCCTCTGATCCACGAGTTGCTCTTATCGCGTTTTTCAGTGTAATTAGAATAATAATTAGAATAATAATATAAATGATGATGATGATGCGCGGTCACAAATAACCGAACAAATGCAGCATATATAGGGTGGATTAGAAGTCATGAAACAGGGTTATTTGAGTTATTCCCAAAAATTACATGATAGGGTTATTTAATTTATTTTAACAAAAGTTGAAACTGACTTCCACTGACATTAATGCATGCATGAATTCTCTTTTTGAATGCATTTGGAACTTGGACTGTCTTCTTTAACATACATAAAAAAAATAAACGAATTTAACTCGTTAGTCTTTCGTCAATGTTCGTTCCATTATGAAATGTCCATCTGAAAAGATGAAAAAAAATAGATATTAACAATGATAAAAAGCTAAAATATTAACCTAAATAATGCATTTGTAACGCCAGTGTTAAAATAAATTATATAACTCTACGTGTCCTGACTTTTTGCCCACCCTATTATTTAAATACTGTTTTGAAATAGTTTAATTTGCACCTGAGAAAATCTTTTTATCGTGTGTAACATTCCTAACATAGCCACGGTGGCGATGTTACCTCCCTCGCTTAGTATACAGGAGATCGTAGATTCGATCCCGACCCTGACGCCTGTATATTTGGAGTTTGCATGTTTTCTCCAGGTTCTCCGGTTTTTCCCGACACACTTAGAATAAACATGCGTTTGAATAATTTGGCTGCTCCCATATATTTACACATGATACGCTACTTCGTTGAGCGATCATTTGCGGTCAGGTCGCTCCTTACAAAGAGATAATAGCTCAGTGGGCTTTACCTGGTACAATAAAAAAAAGTGAAATAGTTATAGTAGGGTTAGGTAATGATGAGTTGTGATGCTGCTGCTGCTATCATAGTGACTGTCTTGCAAGCTTGGAGGTAGACTGTTATTCTTTATTTAATTATTATTATCATCATTGTGTTTGCGATGGATGCTATAGGCTTTTGCAAGTCATGCCGTGATGTACCCAGATGCGAATCGAGCGAATACATCAGAACAAACTCGAGTAGATGCGAAAAACGTGCCTTTGTCTGTGCTTCTGCAGCGATAATAAACCGATTTGTGGAATACTGACGACTATAAATAGATTTTCGAGCTTGTTCAGCCGTTCAACTGCGATGACCAAACGAGGGTATTCGGCTTTCTCTTCCTGCACACTGGCCAGACGTGTTTCAAGAGGCCGGAGTACCCACACTTTACCCCACCACACGCGACCTGCAGATGCACTCGCTGTCACGTACACCCAATTCAGATTCGCATACTACTGGATGAACAGCAGAGAAAGAGAGAGGTAAGAATTTAATAACATTTGCCGCATTGTATCAAGGGTCCGTCCGTAAATGACGTCACGCGATTTTGGACGATTTTTGACCCCCCCCCCCCCCCCCCCCGTCGTCACACGGAGTCACAAAAAGTCAGACCCCCCCCCCTCAAATATGACGTCACAAAGCTCTGCCCCCCCCCCCCCAAAAAAACATGCTTCAAATCGCTTTAAACTATTGTCATTGTATTGTGGCGCTGTACTCTGATGTTGTAGGAGAAAACATTTATTAACAAGTCTATTTAACATTTATTTAAAGTTGCGCATTTTGATGTGACATTTCTCAAACCCTCCCCCTCGTCACATATCGTCACACATCGTCACACATGTCTGACCCCCCCCCCCCCCCCCCACAAGGTGCGTGGTGTCATTTATGGACGGCCCCCAACTGCAGCGCCGGGAGATTGAATTGAACTGGTGACCTGTAGGAATTATAAGTACGATGTGTTCACCGTTATAGCACTGCAGCAGACCTGAGTAAACCTCCGTCCACCCAGCAGAGCGCGTGTGGTGGGGTAAAGAAGCGTTGGTACTCCTCTTAAAAGATGTCTGGCCAGTGTGGAAGAGTAGGCCAAACATTCCCCCCCGCCCCTCCCTCTGGAGAGGCTCTACAGAGCTCCCTCGAGAGGAGAGCCCTATGGCCATCGAGCATTTGCAGGGTTGCGCCTTTTTCCATTGCCCGAAACATATTGTTTACGTATATAATGAAATAGGTGCAACATCTCATGGTTCACGGGTTCCGCACCACCTACGGTAAATTTAGCAGGCGCGGGCGAGTCGGGCATCAATCGTGAAACAAAAATTCGTAATTAATTCCTTGCGGGACAAATCCCTCTGCTACTCGAACGAATTTGTTCTGAGACGTGCGCCCTATCTTATAATCCGCTTAGCTCCTTGAGCTAACGGGGGGAGGAGTGATACCGTGGGGATGCAGTGCATTAGTCGGAGAGGTTAGGGGTCGTTGAGGGAGGTAGGGGCCGCCAGGTAGACTAATGAGCGGATGAGTGATTGGTGGCGGTAAGGTGGGTTGGTGAATGTGTGGATGGATGAGCGAGTGAGTGGGTGATTGCATAAGTTAGTGTGTGGGTAGGTGAGAGGGTGGATGAGTGAAGGAGTGAGTGATTGAACACGCTCGTGGGTGTGTGGGTGGATGATTGAATAAGTGAGTGAGTGATTAAATAAGTGAATGGGTGAGTGAGTGGGTGTACTCGTGAATGTGCAGAGTCGTAGTGTAGCGGTTAGCGTGCTGCGCTACGGATTCGGCGACCCGATTCACACTCACGGCCAACACCAGTGACGATTATCTGAACCAATTCTGGGCCTCCCCTAGGTCCACTCAGCCTCAAACGAGTGACTAGTGCGGTGTATACATATCGCCGCTGAAGAGACAAAGGTGGTCGGGCGTAGTGTTTACCACTCACTCCCTCGTGTGCCGTGTCAGCCTTCATAATTGCTCACAAATAGCACTTGGCCCAGCAGCCTGTTAAGGCTATACGGTGGGGTTTTTGTGTTTTGTACTCGTGAATGAGTGAATGAGTATGTGGTGGGGTCGGTGGGGTAAGTGGATGGGTGATCATGTAAGTCTGAATGTAGTGGTGGATAGGGAGGCACTGATAGATTCATGGATGGATTAATGAAATAATGAATGTGCTAGTAGGTGGGTGCATAGGTGATTGAATATATGAGGGAGTGATTGAATGAGTGAATGAGGTTTTTTTATATATTGAGTCAGCAAGCAGCAGGGTGAGTGAGTGAATATGTGAGTCGGTGAGTGAGTGGGGGATTAAACAGTTTAATGAATAGAGGTGTGTTAGAGATAGATTAGAGCCGGGAATAGTGTGGTGAGAGGGGTAGCTGGGTGGTTTAAAGGCACGGTTGGGTTAAATAAGTGAGTGGGTCGGTGGGTGGGTGGGTGGGCTATGGGTAAGAATGAGGGTGGGTGTGGGTGGTAAAGAGGGAGGTTGGTGGAGTCGATGTGAGAGCTATGGGTGAAGAGGGAGGGAGGGAGAAAGGGAGGGATGTCGGTGGGGTATGATGTGAGGGCTATGGGTGAGAACGGTGGGTGCGTGTGTGGGTGATTGGCTGGTCGAGGAGTGGAGCGCTTGGGCACCCAGGTACGCGAATGCTCGGGGGATGCCACGCGCGCGCGAATATAAAGGCATGGATCACACAGACCGGGCACCTGGTTGGTCCACATCGCGGCAGCACCACGAGGCGGGGAGAGGAGTGCACACTGAGTCGAAGAGACAAAGTAATCGGACTTTGTTTAACCAGGCGAGATTGTATCGACACCTTGAGACCGTCGCACAAGGGGGAGACCTGGGTCGAGGGTCATTCGAACGAGTCTCCGTCTCGGGTAAAGGTGAGCTAACGGTCACGCACGTGTAAACCGTTGCAACGACGATTACCGTGCAAGTGCACATGTACAGTCCTTTATCACCCGGACAAGATTGTTCCTGCACAATACCGGCTATCTTGATCATACTTCACCACGCTGGTTAGATCACATTGATTAAGGCGTGCAGCAAAACACGTAGGAGCATATAAGTGCAGCTTGGAAGATCTGACTCTTTCTGAAATAATTGGTGATTGCCCTACCAATAGTTACGTAATGAACTATATATATATATTATTTTCGTACTGTCACGCTCGGAAAGCCAAGTCCGGAAAGCCTCATTGAGTCTCATAACTAATTGTCAGGAGGGTCCTGCAAGGTTTCGCGCAGTAGGGAACAAAACATGCCATTCAGACCAGAGTTGAGTAATTTAAGTACTTCACAGTATAATCTTCTTTTTTTAATTTGGCAAATCTGCACCGTCACGCCGGCACACAATGGTCTATTCCTGCAAACGTGGTCACGGGTTCCTTATCGTCCACTGTTGAGTGAAGCATGTTGAAGTTTGACACACAACCACGGACTTTTCCAGGGCGGCCGGTGGATTCTAACCCATTCATTCCTTACATATTCAAACTTAATGACTTACCGTCTGTTCAATACAATAATACAATTATACATTCGAAGTCGACATTTCACAGCATGTATATAAGGTAGTATTAATTTACTCGCAAATCTATTGGAACAAAACCCACGTATCAAACATGCCCCCTGCTGACATGTCCAGAGCTTAAATTTGCATTCCCGTACTTTGTACAGCTCGTACCGCACAGGGACAGCTGATATCATTCAGCCGGGCATCAGAATGGTTAATGTGAGAGGTATTGTAAGTGCACTTTAAATAGCTGTGGCATCAGGTAAGCTTCCTATACACGTAAATCCTGATGTCTGTATGTTATACTTATTTGGCACCGTACGTAGACAACCACGTTAATCGGAGGTGTGGGGGAAGGACCACAAACTAAACACAAGGAAGCATTTCTAAACAAATGAGTTTTAACACAGATTTTTTTTAAAATCCTGTATCACCTCTATGGGAACCTCATTTGCCAGTAAAAATATGATAATTGTTTTTTTACCCTTCTATCTGGCATCATCTGGTCCAACCCATGTGAGACTAGGCTCTAAGGAAAGCTGTCTCGGGTGTGGACCAATCAACTTCAAGGACAGTGCACATTATCAGAGTTATGTCTTTTGTTTGTATTATGACTGCAGGTAATGCGGTCTATGCAAACATGACTCCTTGTAAAAAGGTGTCAGTTTTGTTGCCAGATAGAAGGGTAAAAAACCAATTATCATCCTGTATCACCTGTTTATTACCCATGATCTTCCACCATAATAGCATGCAACATAGAATACACACATAGACGATATGATGCTGATACACAGTCCATACTTCAACTAGAACAGTAGGGAGCCCCGATCCGGTAATTACTTTGGCAAACCACATACATCTCACCTGACTCTCTGCTAAACCTATCCAACGCATTATTTGAACACTATATATGTAGAGCGGAGCAAGAATAATATGGGATGATCGTGGATGGGCGTACTTGAACCTTGAACTCGTCTAGAGGTAGAGCCTTACGCCGTTAATCTTCTGCTCCGAGCCACCGAGAACAAATATCGAGTGAGAAATTAAGCCGTGCTGCTGTTGTATTCACACGGCTGGCGATTCACCTGCTGTATATCGCTCGATCCCCCCCCCCCCCCTCCGTGCTTTCTCAACAGATGATGAGCACCGCGGGAACGAGTTAGCGGCTCACTCTCCATCTCGTGTTCGCATCGCGCATTTCCGAAAAAAAAGATAACAAACAACAAACGATGAAAACTCACAACGCGACCAACACATCGGTGGCCCCGGTGTGCGTCGTGACATTTTTCAACTTCAACTGCAGTCCCCCGGATTTGGGCGACGGCGAGAGAGACATCCTCATCGGGGGCTTTTCCCTCGTCATCGCCACCACGGCCCTGGGGAACATCCTCACCATCACCTCGATCCTCTACTTCCGACAGCTTCAGACGCGCACCAACGCCTTCGCCATATCCCTGGCCACCGCCGACTTGTTGGTGGGCGTCATGGTGATGCCCTACGCGGTGACGCGCACCGCCTACACGTGCTGGTTCTATGGAAAAACCTTCTGCAAGATGCACACGTGGTTCGACTACACTCTTACCACCTCGTCCATTCTCCATCTGGCGTGCATCTCCATCGACCGCTACGTGGCCATCAGCGACCCCCTTCGCTACGAGCAGCGAGTGACCAAGAAACTGGTGGGCAGGATGCTTGTGTTTTGCTGGACCAGCTTTATAATCTACGGCCTCTCATACATGCTCGAGTGGAACATCGCAGGCATCGAGGACATAGTGGCCAGCAGCACCTGTCCGCACAACTGCCCCGTCTTCATGAACGTCCAGTTCGCGCTGACCAACACGCTGTGCGCCTATGTCACCCCGATGCTGCTCATGCTAGCTGCGTACGCCAAGGTGTACGTGATGGCTCGGGCCCAGGCGAGAAAGATCAGCATCGCGATGCTCCAGACGCGATCGGCCGACGCGGCGGTGCGCAGCCGGTGGAGCGCCATGAAGAGAGAGCACAGCGCCACCAAGACGCTGGGCATCATCATGGGCGCGTTCGTAATCTTCTGGGTCCCCTTCTTTGTCGTCGCCGCCTCCGAGCCACTGCTCGGCTACGCGTCCGACCCACTGGTGTGGGACGTGGCCAACTGGTTCACCTACATCAACTCCACCATGAACCCCATCCTCTTCGCGGCGTTCAATCGCTCGTTCCGCAACGCGTTCTATCTGATCGTGAGCGGCAAGATCCTGCGTGGCAGCTACAGAGGGACGGATCTGTTCAGTTTCAAACGCGGAGGCGGAGTGGCTGAGATGGCTTGAACATGCGGATTTGTATTTGGGAAGATGGTTGTTTTGTATGTGTGTTGAACTTATTTGGCACCGTACGTAGCCAACCTTGCTAATCGTATCTGCGTGGTTGAATATCTTTTTCTTTTCAGTGGCGATTGATGTCTTGCTTAAACCACCAGTACAGCTTTCGGTAATTTCGTGAGAAAATCCCTGGATGGTGTGGAGTAATTATCGTTGCATTGTGGGTGGAATGAGGGTTTTTTTGCTAACACTTTGTAACAAAAAATATTATTATTGCAATTAAAATAAACTCTGGATAGTCCAGAGTATTCGAGGAGTAGAGGACACAATGTGTAAACGTGGCTCTAGTGTATTGCTCGTTGACAGAATCGGTTTTCCTGGCCAATGTGTTCCGGGTCATGTGAGTCAATGGCCCACTATGAGTTGCGAGTAGTGTATTATTTATTTATGCATTCATTGGCAGGAGTTCGTTATTAAGCCAGCGCGCGAAACAAGAGATGCATTCTTTTTAAAGCGCCGTTAATCCGGAACCCGGATAATTCAGAAGTGACTGTGTGTACGTAGAGTTGTAAAACCATATCGCCATGGTGGCTATGAACCTGGTCAGTTTAGTTTGATTCCGGGCCATGGCTAACTTTGGTCGAGAGTGACATCTGACGGCTGTGCTGGGAACGTCCTTCATCACAATCCACACCAATCGACAGAGTGAAGAATCGACCAAACAGCACCACCGCCCGCACCGTGTGGTGAGGCCCCGCAACTAACAGTGGACTCACAAAGGACTATAAATAATCATTCATCGATCCATTGTTCTTCCGAGCATTCGTCTCACTACGAACCCGTCGCCTCGACTTTGATTTCGGCTCACGGCCAAAACCAGCGACGATTATCTGAGCCTGTCCTGGGCCTCCCATGGGTCGACTCAGCATCAAATGAGTATTTGGCACGGTGTGTGTACACATCAGCACTGCGGCCGGGCATGGTGCTGGCCACCCACCTTCTCGCGTGTCAGAGCCGGCTTTCAAAGGTGGTCGCTATGAGCACTTTCTACAATGGTCTGTTGAGACTATATGGGGGATATTTTTGGTTCTGGAACAGGGAAGTTTCCAAACCCAGGACAACTCATGTGGACTCCCTTACACGAGCCCCCCCCCCCCCCACACAATCTTGGATCCATCTCCATGTCGTTGACAACGTCGAATCTAATCCCCCCCCTCCACCCCCATCTTTCCCTTTCACGTAACTATCCTTCTGAGGTAATCTCCCGACGTTTTGACAACGTTCATGAAAACCATCGCGCTCTATTCTCGCTCTTCTCCCCACCCTCGTCATCTCAACCTCTTCCATTTCTCAGACTGCCTTTTTTGTTTATGTTGCTAAACTCCACAAATCCATCTCAGCTATGACATTCCCATCATGTTCACCAACAGATGTTTGAAGCTGAACAGATCAATCCCTTTGTAGCCGCAACGCTTACGATCAGTGGCTCAATATTGGTCTAGCCAAATGCCGTTCTCCGGCGTTTTTTAGTCCTATAGTTGCCACACAAAGGTGTGTAGGCACGCAGCTCAATGCTGGTGAATTTTACTTTTGAGTGTATTTAGTTTAATGATAGAAATGTAATTTACTCTGTGTAAAAAATATAAATATCATAGATCAGGGCTTAATTGCTGCCGGAACTGAAAAATGTCCCTGGCCCCTACCACGCGTCTCTTTCCGGGAAGACGAGAGATAGGCCAGGTTTCGGAAATGTAAAGCAACACTTTTGTTCGACCAGAGAGCAGGTCGGGGGTCTCGTTTCCAGAGTGAGCCGGGGGTCACCAACCCGACAAAAGAAAAATAGGTAATGTTAACCGTACAATAACGAAGCCAGCGGCTCAACCGACTGTCGATTGTGTCCCACGTGCCCTGCATGTACTCGACAGTTTAAAAGAAGCCCACACATGGCGTGTCTACACCCGCGTCGAGACCAATCCGAACCGACTGATTTAAGAACCTCCCAACACACGGTATTTAATTTAAATGCCACCACCGACTGTCATCACCTATAACTTTACCAGGTAAGGCCCATTGAGATAAATAGCTCTTTTTCAGAAGCCACCTGATCACAGCTGATAGCTTAATAAAGTTACTTATCGCGACGAACTTTTCAGCAGCCAAATACTCTGAATGCATTTTGTTTCTAAATGTAGAGGGAACAACTGGAGGACCAGGAGAAAAAAACCCACATGACCACGGGGAGAGAAACACGCAAACTCCAAATATACAGGCGTCAGTCAGGGTCGAGTTAAAACCCACGACGTCTTGTATACTAGGAGAGGTAGTTAACATCTCACCACGGTGGCGCCCCAAGCTACTGAACTGACGAGACACGCGACAACAGAATTACGGGACGCATTGGCATCAGTCAGTACGATGCCATAGCTGCCCCGAGTGTAAAGACGCTGTTGGGAAGCTGTCGGCGAGACCCCCGCTGCAGCGAAGGAGCGACGCTCACGCCAACGTGCGGAACGCCGGGCGGATACAGCACGGCGAGTTGGCACGGTGGGAGAGCGAACGTGGTGGAGCATCAGAGGGGGGGGGGGGTGGTACTTCGACAATACTTTGATATGGCCTCGAAAGGCAAATGATTGCTGCTAAGTGATTCCAAAGCTTTACACAGCTGCACGTCTTGTTCAGCCAAACCTGGCGCTATAGGGCAGTCAGCAATGTAAATTTTCATGATAAGTTCGAATCCAGAACCATAACCTACTAAGAGATGTTTCTTAAACGGTATGTTTTCACACTGGCTATGCTAACCGTCATAACAATCCAATAGAAAGGAACGCGAGCATGAGGATTGGCGTCGGTGTGGAGATGGAGGCCTTCATCCAGCAGTGGATCGATCGTGGTCCAAGATGATGATGCTAATTCTGATGTGGCTCAGAGCACAATGCATGACACCCCATTGCTTGCTTGTGTGGTCACGGAATCGCTTTGGATTTTGATATTTAACGACTCGATGGCTGTGTTGATTTTAATCTCTGTAGAATGTCGTCGGTGTGTCTTGCTAAAAATTGCATACGTTAATAAATAATGGCGACTTCGGTATTGTTAATTGTTATTTCAAGATAATCATAAGTGCGTCAGGAGGGGGTGTGTGTAATGGTCAGCACAATGGCATTTCAATTCACGTATCATCGATTCAATTCGACCTCCCGGCGCGGCCATTGAATACTTTGGCGATGTTCTTAAATCTCTCCCTCGCTCCTCTGACCCGCCAGCAGCATAAACGAGCACTGCATAGTTAGTTAATCGGCAGATCGCGTGAGGTGGCGGGTAAAGTGTGGGTTCCCATTTGAGGCCGAGTCGAATTAGGGGACACCCATGACCGGTTCAGATAATCGTCAATGGTGTTGGCCGTGAGAGAGAATCTAACTCGGGTAGAGGGATTTGTAGCGCAGTGTGTACCACTGCACCACCGCACCCACACACATGCATGTGTAATGGGTTCAACTGAGTCGCAGACGCAAACTTGGAGGCAACACATTTATTCAGTTCCAACACACGGGGTAACTTTCCCCTTAACAGAATAACAACCTATGGTGGTGACTACCAGGCTATCCACACTAGTTACAACGTAACTGCCACGATGGACCGGGACCAATAGCTTCGGCCCGGGTCTACGTGTTGGAGACTTGTTGAACGGAGAACGTAGATGAAGGGTTTCTTCCAGGATGAACAACCCCGGTCCCTCTCGGGACCTGGCTTATATTCTCTGTGGCGTGGTCGGCTCCGCCCTTGGCCACGTCCATCTTCCAGAATCCTCGGGAAGGATCTAGGTCCCAATCACGTGACCACCGTTAGCCCACTCTTGGGGCCCCTTTGTAGACTTAACTGGTCACATGTCTTCCCGGGTCAACCAGGGTACCATGGCCTCGAATAACCTTATCTTTCGGCCGCACCCACACACCCTGTTCTGTAGGGTCGGCACTGCATGCAAAGCGTGGTGACATCTATCGCTATCATTCAGTGCTCACCGGGCCCCTCTAGGGCCGGTACTACACGCACACCACTGTGGTGTCCGCGATGTCGCGACACCAAACGCCGTGCTCCTCGAGGGCCGGTACTGCACCCAACATGTTGACATCCAGCGATGTCACTACACATGCACTTATCAGCAAACATGTGAACGGAGACCAATATCCCCAGTTAAATCTTGACAAAGTGTAATCTTAACTGACTGTTGGGACAAGTGCTGTTCGCGAGTAGCATCTATGAAGGGCAGCATCACCACGCCCGGCCGCATTTGTCTTTATAGTGGCGATGTTAACAAGACAAAGATCCCCCGTATAGCCTTAATGGACTTTTGGGCAAAGTGCTGTTAGCGAGTTGCACCTATGAAGGCAGGCACGACACACCAGGGGGTGGGTGGTCAGCACCACGGCAATGTAACACACACATTAAAAAAACCTGAATGGACACACACACCGAAACACAGATCCACATACCCACCCACTCACTGCGCCCACACAAGACTATTAATAACTTATAATTATACACAGTCCACGCCGTTATCTCACTGTGACCCCGTGAGACGTCACATAGCAAATAGTGCTAAGTGCTCTATAATTATAACAACAGCCAGAAACAACAACGCCACCGCTAATTGGTCCCCCCCCCCCCCCCCCCACTAGTCGCTCGATAATTTTCACATTCCCCACGTGTATTAGGGAAGTGTGAACTGTCTGGTCTCACATTTTGGGGAGGGACATTTCGTTTTTTTTATTTGGGGGGGGGGGGGCAGGGAGGGGCTCGTTCGTCATCACCAAGAGGGTTCAAAACGTCACTCATAAGGGGGAGGGAGGAGGGGGGTACTCTTCAACTCATAAATAGAGGCACCTGGATCGGGCCCCATCTGGATAGAATCCCACCTAGATAGGGGCGCTTGTCTGTGTGAGATTGTACCTGGAGATCATTAGTCCATATATACAACCATAGTCGTAAGAATTTAAATCGTATCGATATTATCAACAACACGTCTGCGTATTCCGGAACAAAATAAAGACACGGTTTGAGGTGAGGCTCCCCACAGGTCGCCGGATAAAACCGATCTCCCGGCGCGGCAGGTTAATGAGACAGACAATGGAGCAAGTTTCAATTGCTTCGCCTCAAGGTCCAGCCGATCGGCAGGGGGTCGTGTGTGGTGCGGTAAAGCGTGGATAAATTCCACCACTGCCTAGGAGTATGGCCAGTGTCGAAGTGGAGGCCAGAAAAATATCCCCAGAGTGGTTCTCTCTCGAGCTCCCCTCTGGTGGAGGTCCTTTGGCCAGTAGTGGCGCGAGTAAAGCAATTGCAGGGCTGCGCCTTTTACCGTTTCACCTATTATGTACCGCATGTTTAACTTCTTTCGCACCGTCTACGTGGCCAACCGTGCTAATCGATTGGGCTACGTACGGTGAGATGCGAGTTGACCGGGTTTCCAATACGGATTTCAAGGGACGAGTTATGCCACTCAATGATCGTAACGTCCTCGAAGGTGTTGACATATGAGCACGAGTGACGGATGTTGGGTGACCGTGTGACTCTGAGGGGGGTTTATAATGGTCGTGTAATAGACCCTGAGCAGGCTACCGTACAGACGGGGCGGCCGGCCACCTGGATTCGAGCCTAGGTTCTTGCTTGAGGATTGGGTCGCCTTGTTGGCACGGACTCGCACGCTCTGTCTGTACTGTCTGTGCTGTCCACCTCGTTCGTGATAAATCGTTGCCGTCTGTCCTCGTTCAATCGATTAATAGTTTGTACGGACTCAAGATCTAGACATCTAACGATGTCTAACGATGTCTAGTGCCATTGCTTTGTAGTATTCTCGTGAAAGTGGCATCTTCTTCGTGTTGTACATTCCAGACCGATTTTTGTCCTCGATGCTCGAACCAGCAGGACGGCGTGCTTTGTGTTCGACCGAGCACTTCATCGAACCATAGCCCTGGCCCTAACCATAGCCACAGTACGACCCATAGCCCTACGCATATTCGTGCTGTTACCCCATACCTTATCGCTAACCTACAGTAAGGGAAAAAAGTATTTGATCCCCTGCTGATTTTGTACGTTTGCCCACTGACAAAGAGATGATCAGTCTATAATTTTAATGGTAGGTTTATTTGAACAGTGAGAGACAGAATAATAACGAAAAAATCCAGAAAAACGCATGTCTAAAATGTTATAAATTGATTTGCATTTTAATGAGGGAAATAAGTATTTGACCCCTCTGCAAAACATGACTTAGTACTTGGTGGCAAAACCCTTGTTGGCAATCACAGAGGTCAGACGTTTCTTGTAGTTGGCCACCAGGTTTGCACACATCTCAGGAGGGATTTTCTCCCACTCCTCTTTGCAAATCTTCTCCAAGTCTTTAAGGTTTCGAGGCTGACGTTTGGCAACTCGAACCTTCAGCTCCCTCTACAGATTTTCTATGGGATTAAGGTCTGGAGACTGACTAAGCCACTCCAGGACCTTAATGTTCTTCTTCTTGAGCCACTCCTTTGTTGCCTTGGCCGCGTGTTTTGGGTTATTATCATGCTGGAATACCCATCCACGACCCATTTTCAATGCCCTGGCTGAGGGAAGGAGGTTCTCACCCAAGATGTGACGGCACATGGCCCCGTCCATCGTCCCTTTGATACGGTGAAGTTGTCCTGTCCCCTTAGCAGAAAAACACCCCCAAAGCATAATGTTTCCACCTCCATGTTTGACGATGGGGATGGTGTTCTTGGGGTCATAGGCAGCATTCCTCCTCCTCCAAACACGGCGAGTTGAGTTGATGCCAAAGAGCTCCATTTTGGTCTCATCTGACCACAACACTTTCACCCAGTTGTCCTCTGAATCATTCAGATGTTCATTGGAAAACTTCAGACTGGCATGTATATGTGCTTTCTTGAGCAGGGGGACCTTGCGGGCGCTGCAGGATTTCAGTCCTTCACGGCGTAGTGTGTCACCAACTGTTTTCTTGGTGACTATGGTCCCAGCTGCCTTGAGATCATTGACAAGATCCTCCCGTGTAGTTCTGGGCGGATTCCTCACCGTTATCATGATCATTGCAACTCCACGAGGTGAGATCTTGCATGGAGCCCTAGGCCGAGGGAGATTGACAGTTCTTTTGTGTTTCTTCCATTTGCGAATAATCGCACCAACTGTTGTCACCTTCTCACCAGGCTGCTTGCCGATGGTCTTGTAGCCCATTCTAGCCTTGTGTACGTCTACAATCTTGTCCCTGACATCCTTGGATAGCTCTTTGGTCTTGGCCATGGTGGAGAGTTTGGAATCTGATTGATTGATTGCTTCTGTGAACAGGTGTCTTTTATACAGGTAACAAGCTGAGATTAGGAGCACTCCCTTTAAGAGTGTGCTCCAAATCTCAGCGCGTTACCTGTATAAAAGACACCTGGGAACCAGAAATCTTTCTGATTGAGAGGGGGTCAAATACTTATTTCCCTCAATAAAATGCAAATCAATTTATAACATTTTGACATGCATTTTTCTTGATGTTGTTGTTGTTATTCTGTCTTTCACTGTTCAAATAAACCTCCCATTAAAATTATAGACTGATCATTTCTTCGTCAGTGGGCAAACGTACAAAATCAGCAGGGGATCAAATACTTTTTTCCCTCACTGTACCTATAACTCTATCCATAGCCCTACCCATAACCATAAAGTTACCCCTAAACCTAACGTTAATCTACCTATAATTCTACCCATAACCCTACCCTTAAAGTTACCCCTAACACTACTGCTAACTTACCCTATAACTCTACCCATAGCCCTACCCATGACGATAATATTACCCCTAATCCCACACGCACGCATTTAAGGCTGAGGCGACCGAGGAGAGGCACATGATGGCTTCGAATATCAACTCTATCCGTAGCCAGGAAAGGAACACGTGTACACACACAACACTTGGACACACGGATCACAGTGTTAATTGCTTAGCGCGTCAGTGTAACGTATTTAATAATCATACGGTGCGTGTAGCGTGGAACAAGTTAGTTAGCATTTGAATGGGCAGTAAATTGGGTCGCGAGGACTGGAGTGTGGGAAACCCTGTGTTAGCGAGTGCCTATTAAGGTCGGCTTGACCCCTATTTGTCTCCCCATCGTTAATCTGACACAAAGTACCAGGTATCTATTTAAGGCTGAGTCGACCTAACGGAACATGAAAAGGGAACATACAAAAAAATATGGCGCAGACACACATGCATTCATAGACCGTCCCCATGTCGCCTACATAGACTATTGGGGAAAGTACTGTGAGCGAGCACCCATTTTGGTGGTTCAGCACAAGATAAATACAAACATCCATGTATATATTCTTTGTTCTTTCGTTCTTTTGGTAAAGTCACGTAGATAGAAAATAATGAGTAAAAAAGAAGAATTTTTTTATAAACAAATAAAATAATTAATCATAAAAAACTCACGACGTTTCGATCGCAACACAAGCGGTCGTCATTAGGCGGATGGAAAAGGGGGGCAAGCCTCCACCTGCAACTGTTCATAATGACTTGAAATGGGCGCAGCAAAGTGTCAGAATCTATGTATATCCTTAGACATTTGGGCGAAGTGCTGTTCGCGCGCTGCACTACAAACCCAGCGACTCAAGTTCGATTCCCGCTCACGGCCAACGCCATTGACGATTATCCGAACCGGTTCTGGGACGTTCCTCGGTTGGCTCAGCTTCAAATAAGTACCTGGTGCAGTGTGAAAACATTGCCACTGAGGAGACAAAGGAGGCCAGGGCGTGGTGCTGGCCAACTCAACCCCTAGTTTACCGCCCGGCCCTCCTAGGTGCTATTTGCACCAATGAAGGCAGACAGAGGCACACACGCGCGAGTCACAAACTTCACAAACCAATTTTCAACCAAAGAAGCCCAATGCATATCTCCCGGTGCGGCAGGTGAAATTACGGCGCCAGTTTATTTAAAATCTCGCTTTTCTGTCCGCAGAGCGGTATGTAAATAAATAAAAAAAAACAAAGTTGGCAGGTCGCGTGTGGTGGGGTAAAAATGTGAGTAAATTTTCATAAATTTTCCAAGACGCATTCAGATTTGTACCACCTTGTGTCCCAAGTGCAGCCCCAGAAGGTGACATAACCCAGTCCCTACTATGGAAGTCACGTTAATACTGCTCATATTTGAATAGTATCAATGGGTACCAAGGCAGACACATCGCCAAGTACTCACACTCATCACCAGGTATTCAGTCAGACATACAGATGCCCCTGCGCAAACATTAACATACATACATAAAAGACAAATGGAAAACAAAGACTAATATCCGCCATATAGCCTTAACACAGACTTTTGGGTCAAGTACTGTAAGCGATAACCTTTGAAAGTGGGTACGGTACACAAGGGGGTGGGTGACCAGCACCATATACACACCGCACCAGGTACTCATTTGATTCAAACCAGGGGGATGTCCAGCGGAAATCTAACTCGGGTCGCCGTGTCGCCAGTTTCAGAGTACAGCGCGCTCCTCAACAAAAACAAAGATCCCCCGTATAACTTTAACACATTGTTTGGGGCAAGTTATGTTAGCGAGCACCTATGAAGGCCGGCACGGAGCACGAGGGGGTGGGAGGCCAATACTCCACCCGGCCGCCTTTGTCTCCTTATCGGCGTAATTTACACACCGCACCAGGTACTCATTCGAGGCTGAGTTGACCACTAACACACATACATACACATACGTACTTACCCTAATACGTATACATGTTTTGGTTACATCTCAGGACAAGCATGGACAACCAATCGGATGTCGAGGCTCCTGGGCTGCTCTGCGTCAACTCGTACAACAACCTCAGCTGCTCGAGCCCTCGGCTGCCCGCGACCCAGCGCACTCTCGCTCTGGTGGTGCTCATCTCGTTCAGCGCCTGCACCGTCGTGGGAAACTCGCTCATCGTCCTCTCCATCCTCTACTTCCGGCAGCTGCAGACGCGCACCAACGCCTTCACGCTCTCCCTCGCCCTCGCCGACATGCTCGTGGGCCTGCTGGTGATGCCCTACAGCATGATGCGCGCCGTCTACAGCTGCTGGTTCTACGGCAGCTTCTTCTGCAAGGTGCACACGTGGTTCGACTTCACGTTCACGTCGTCGTCCGTCATCCACCTCAGCTGCATTTCCATCGACCGCTACATCGCCATCAGCGACCCGCTGCGATACCCGAAGCGGCTCGGGCCGCCGAAGGTATTTCCAGCAACTCATGAGATACGATATTCGATTCTACGCTAGTCTTTTCTTGCGCGTGATGTATGTTGAACTTATTTCGCACCACCATACGTAGCCAACCGTGCTAATCAGAGGTGCCGGGGAAAGGAGAAAATGATGATAATAGCAGCTAGATGTTCAGGAGACGGACACCAATGCCGAGGTTCTGCTGCTGGTCACGACGAGAGGGCTTTAGGAGAGAGAGTTCGTGTAGTTTTGAAATTCCTCCTCCGCTGAATGAGCGCAGACTGCAGTGGTTTACTTTATCGTATCTATGGGTCTCTATGGGTGTCTATGTACTTCTATGAGTCTACATCTATCTCGGTGGGTCTCTATGGGTTTATCTGTTTCGCTGTGTAGTTCAATATGTATCTCTGAGTACCTCGTGTATCTAAGCGTCTTCATGGGTGTACTATGCGGTCCAGTAAATGGCTTGCATGGGCAATACTGTGGCTGGTCTTTGGTTTGTCACTGTTTCCTTTTGGGTCCTCATGTATCTCTACGGGTGTCTATGTTTCTCTTTGAGTCTCTGTGTATCTCTATGCATCTCTATGGGTTTGCTCTCAACTCCATTATGTTGGTTGCATGACCACAATCACACTAATGTGGCTTGTGCCTTAAAATGCCTACTGCCTTAAAATGTGTGACAGTAGATAGATCTGGTGAGAGAAAGGGTTAGTTTGTCACGATATGCCTATCCATCACAATGTAATGGATAGCCATATTAGAATCTAATGGATAGCACACTGGACTTGCAAATCAGAGTTACGCAGTTCAATTTGATCTCCGGACGCAGTAGTTGAAACCCTCCCCCGAAATTCTATCCAAGCGAGCAATATACTGTATATGGGTACTCCATAATTAGTCGTTAGGCAGATCGCGTCTGGTTGGGTAAAGTGTGGGTACTCCCACCTCTTCTAAGAGGAGGGGGGGGAGGAGTGTGTAGAGCTCCGTCTAGAGGAGAAGGTTCTTCCGCCAGCAGTGTCATCAGCCAGCAATTACAGAACTGCGCCTTTACCTTGTGAGATCTTCGTCGATCACCCCAAGCACGCGGAATGAGTCGGAACGAGCTCGGCGTGCCCGCCCACACTACTCACATCGATGCAGAAACGTTACCTCTCGACCCCGCTCCCCCCGTGCATCGTCCTCTATTGTTGGTGCTGCTGTGTGATCAAGGTGGCGCTGATGCTGGTGGTCTGCTGGAGCACCACACTGGCCTACGGGCTGCCGTTCTTCTCCGGCTGGACCGTGCTCGGGATCGAGGAGGTGATCGCGCGGGGCTCGTGCCGGGACGCGTGCCCGGTGGTGGGCAACATGGCCTTTGCCTTCACGAACGCCTTCTTCGCCTATCTCATCCCGCTCTGCATCATGGTCACCTCCTACGCCAAGATATTCCGCATTGCCCGCGAGCAGGCGCACAAGATCCGCGCCAACAGCGCGCACGACCCCGGTGTCGAGTCCTCCTCATCCTCCGCCCGCCAGCAGTGGGCGGCGATGAAGCGAGAGCACAACGCCACGAAGACACTCGGAATCATCATGGGAGTCTTCCTGCTCTTCTGGTTGCCCTATTGCTCCGTGGCGGTGATCGACCCGATAATTGGCTACCAGACGAGCGCCACGAGCTGGGACGTGGCCAACTGGATCGCGTACGTGAACTCGGCCATAAACCCCGTGCTCTTCGCCTCCTTCAACCGTTCCTTCCGCGGTGCCTTCCGGCTCATCTTCACCTGCCGGGTCTCCTCGTCCACCTACCGGAACGCCGATCTGTTCAACCTGAACGACTCGGCCAATTGAACAGACACGTCCCTGCGCGAACCTCACGGTGCGTCGAGGTGTCTCACTCTCATATTTTGTTTCTCTTTTCTTCGTTTATAGCGTATGAACAAAGAAGCAACAGCGCTACGATTGTGGGGTTTTCATTGCTGTTTTAGCCATTTGATGGCAGCATCCGGAGTTGTAGCTGAGTGGAGGAGTTATTTTGTTCCACAAGCATAACAGCCGCGTTCTATTGGGGCAGTCACCAGTGATATTACGCCTGCTTGAGTGAGCGAGTGAGTGAGCGATGGGTGAGTGATCGAGCGAGTGAAATTCTGCCTGATTATCTAGAACCTCCTCACCAGCGCGTCCGCAGTCTGGCGGAGTCCCTGATCATTTCATTGATGGAGGGGTGCGCAATGGGTGAGCGAGCGAGTGAGCAATGGGTGAGTGAGCGAACGAGCGAGTGATATTTTGCCTCATTATCTTATCTTAAATAAATGTATATAGCGCATGCAAGGCGTTTTAACAAATAATTAACAACGGTACATATGGATGTATTGGTGGGGATGGGGTGAATGAAATAGATGAGAAGAAGCAATGGGAAAATCTGTGATGCGTGAATTTGGTGAAAGCAAAATTTATGACAGTAAATGATGATGAATGGATTGAACGAATGAGGAATGAGTGATAGCCATATAATGAAAATATTAAGAGGGAAAAATAACGGTGGTGGTTATGAGGCGGATATTAGGGGGGGGGGTCGCGGGGGGAGGGTGAGCGAGGGAAAAGAAGCGAGTTCTGAGTATGGAGTGGGAACTCGTGAGCGAAGGTGACTGTTTAATGTGAAGTGGGGCGTGGATTGAGCACAAGGAGACGGAGGGACAGAGAGAGAGCAAGGATTGAGAACGTAGAGGGCGAGAAGGCACGTAGCAAGATATTGTGGGGCAAGTCCATGAAGGGATTTGTAGGCCAAGGTAAGGCATTCGAACAGGCAGCAGTCGTCGACATGGAGCCATTGCAGTTGCGCGAGAAGGGTCGAGGTATGGGAATTATAGGGAAGGTTGAATATTATCTTGCACCTCCTCACCAGTGCATTCGCTGGGTGAGTGAGTGAGCGATGGGGGAGTGAGTGAATAAACGATGGGTGAGTGACCAAGTGAGCGAGTGATTGTCTTGCACCTCCTCACCAGCACATTCGCAGTCTGGCGGAGTCTCCGATGGTTCTATTGATGGAGGAAATGCCCAAAACACATCTTCTTCCACTGCGTATTGGTGGAACTCGATTGAAAGCTGTTCTCGCTGTTGTGGGAGCAGTGAGAATACCAGGGCTGTTCCTTCATCGGGTCGTCAAAAAAGGGGCTTACGGTTCAATTTGACGAATGGTCAGTTTAAATACATCGATTGTTTCATAGTTGTTGTAGTTTGTTGTGGGGAAGTTGTGGCTCACGTGAAGTCACGTCATCAAAGTGTAGAGGTCGGGCGGGGACACGGCCAGGATTGCGTGTGTGGGGGCCACGCAAGGGACAAGGGACCACGCCCAGATATATCATTAAAGAAAGGCGCAATGGCCGAAGAACGAGCTTCTTACGGGGTTATGCGTTACTGGGAGTGTGCGTTACTGTGTTTGCATTAATGGAGGTGCGTTAATGGAAGTGTGCGTTAGTGGGAGTGTGCGTTACTGGGAGTGTGCGTTACTGTGTTTGCATTAATGGAGGTGCGTTAATGGAAGTGTGCGTTAGTGGGAGTGTGCGTTAATGGGAGTGTGCGTTACTGGGAGTGTGCGTTAATGTGTGTTCGTTACTGTGTAGACGTTACTAGGAGTGTGCATTAGTGGGAGTGTGCGTTACTTTGTGTGTGTGTTACTGCGCTGCACTACGAACCCGTCGCCACGCTTTGATTCCCGCTCACGGCCAACACCAGTGACGATTATTTGAACGGATCCTGAGCCTCCCCTAGGTTGATTCAGCCTCAAATTAGTACCTGGTTTGGTGTGTAAATATCGCCACTAGGCAGACAAAGGAAGTCGGGAGTGGTGCTGGCCACCCACCTTCTCGTCATGTCGGAGTCGGCCTTCATTAGGTGCTCGCTAACGGCACTTGCCCCAACAGTCTGTTAAGCTATATGAGAGTTCTATGTCTTTTTCGTTACTGGAAGAGGAAATTCCCGAGCTCAGGACAACTCACGTGGACTCCCTTACACGAGCAAATGCCAACCTAGCGTTTGTCAATTGTGCAATCTGCTCCAGCTGTTCCTCCTGTGTCTGCAAAAAGAGGCTGCGACACCCATGCCTGAATTGTGCTCATTTTCGTACCAACATTTCTTGACTTCATAATAATTAAATTTGGAGGGGGGGGGGGCTGAGCCTTCAGCTATTGGTGGGGGGCGATGATCAGTCCCCCCAAAGCCCCCTCTACGCTGCGGGTCTGTCTTACAGCATTCTTGGATACTTACTTTCAATCATCGTTTCACTTTATTTTATATTCAACCAGGCAAGAAGTTAAGAGATTAGGATACATCTCGTACACGCAAGAGTGACCTGGAAATAGCGTAGTCACCCATACATAGTGCAATAGTAAATAGTGCAATAGTCAATGCTGCATTCAGCCGGAAGAGTCAAGAACGCTGCTCTGGGAATAATGTTCGGCATGCCGCATCTATTTCGCATTTGTCCTCGTTATTCTGCAGTGCCATTCATATGAGTATAGTTATATACAGGGTTACAATGAAATGCGATTATTATGGACAGCCGAACCTTGTGCTCTCTAGTGGCAGTACCAAGCCAGCCTTGCTTGGCAGTGTTCTGGTCAAATTTGAGTGAGAAATCAAGCAATGTCTTAGCAAAGTCAACAGTGAATTGCACGAATAACGCGCCAAAATAATGTAAATATAACTCACGATACATTATTGTGAACTTGTGGCCTCCAGCGTAGTAAAACCCAACTGCCGATTGTTGATCACGCCTCTGCAGACACAGACCCGAGAGCAAAAGCATTCGGCCTATTCTGACATGAAAGATCGATAATTTGGTGCTGCTGCGTCGTGCATAGTATTCCATCTTAAACATGCGGCGCGTCTAGATTGTTTCTGTTTTGCTTGTGCCATCTGGGTTTGCATTGCGTGGCTGGTACATGCTTTCTCATTGCAACCGTCTTGTTTATATTGATTGTGTTGTTCGTTCTGGCTGGCTTTTTTGCATCTCCGTTGTATCTGCCTTGTATGTTAATGTGCTGCCTGTCGCGTTACGATTGTCGGTCGAAAATATTTCCAAATTTCTACGATTTTGTATTCATGATATGCCTAGTTTACTCTATCTCGTTTCCACTATCCATATTCTATTGTCTGCATCCTATGTTCGTTCCTACTTTGTCCCGTTCCTATAATTGTCCCTTAAGCGTCTGATCCTGTATACGCATCACGAGTGTATGAATAAAGAGACGAATATTATATGCCAGTCTACAGCATGGTTACTTACTGGGTTTCAAATTCGCGCATTTGTTCCGATAATCACCGTCAAATAATACAACAAATCAACAATTGTGCAGCCCCTTTCTCGGTCGACTGCTGGACAAAAGGCATGGTGTCAGACGTTGGGGGATGTTCTGGTTAAGTCTCGACCAGCGGTCACCATCCCCATGTATCCTTTGACGTACCCTGTCCAAGTCCACAACACTTTTCACGAGCTAACTGTGATGCACCTAAATTGCGTGTGTTCTGTAATCCATGACTCTTTTTCATCTTTCTTTCAATGTAATTCCAAGCAGACACCTCTCAACCCATACAAATAATTACTTGGCCCGTTTAAATTCCAATACGTTGCGTCATTTCACGTACTCTTTTTATTGGAAGAGAAGTGATTTAAAAGAACACAAAAATAGTCTACGAAACAACATGAACGATGCTAAAACAAATATAATACGAGTCATAAGAAAAACCTCACCGATTCCCAAAACTCTTTTAGGAGGATCATGCATTGTGATGTTTGGTCACTTCCATAATTGTCAGAACATGTTTTTTGTTTGTATTTTCACCGCAGGTATCTGTGGTTAATGCAGACATGATTCCTTGCAAAAGGGTTAAAGTTGGTGAATTAACATCTTAACACCTGTTTTGTTGCCTGAAAAAAAGGAAAAAACCTATTCTTATATTAAATTCCGTAATTGTTTAGCGTATTTACAGAGGACATCAATAACCCGGATAGAACCCACCATACATAGAATGAAGTGGCCATCAGCAACCCCACGTTCTGCCAACATGAAAACATGCACTCCACTTTCCCACAACCATTTCATGCACCTGAATAATGATAATACTAAAAGACATTTAACATAAATAAAAGAGACCTGCGACCATGGTGAGAGACGACAGACCACTTGGTCTGCCCACTGCTTGAAGAAGGCCAATGCCCTGTGCAAGATTTTGCAACAGGCAAACTGCGAGGACTAAAGGATGTGTGCCTTTGGTGGATGGACGCAAAAAGAATGAGAACGCAAATGAAAACATCTGAACAAAGTTGTCCTTTCATTTCATTTTATTGTTCACAAATACACACAAAACTTGCATTTAATTTGTTCCAATATGACCACTGCTTATGCATGTCCTCTCCGAAGTTAAATACCAAGTCAAGAAATCACCGATCTGCACTGACTAGCGTCGTGGTAAAACAGCTGGTGTGAGCAACGCGGCCAGGTGTTCATTCAGCAGTGGAGTGAAAAATGGTCGTAAGCTACTATTATGATTATATGTTGTAAGCAATTGGAACAAAAGACCCCAGCAGGCATTAGAGACCAATATATATGCCGAAAAGATGAAAACAAAATTGATTCAGGGATCGAATCTCGACCCTGTTTTACGATAATGGATCAACAGTCGGGTGGGGTGTGGGGAGGAGGATTGATACGAATTATTACTCCAACTACCCGACACACTGCAACTCCTTCTTTTGACTCCTGCTGCTATCACTTTTACCAGGAGCAGATGTTTCAACCCGAATCTGCTTCGTGCCTTTGCCCTCTGCTTGTTCTTTGTCTACGGTGACC